TTATATTTAGTAATTATAGTTCGAAAAAATTGGCTTGACTTTGAAACTGTAAATTGTAATTATATTTAGTAATTATAGTTTCAAGATTTAAGGTTCTAATAAATTGTAAGAAAAGGGTAGTAGGTATGTAGATCAAATATGTAGATCAAATATGACTGGCCTTGTTATCGACAGCTCTCGAGACTCTTGTGGATAAAAGAATTACCGGCTTTCCTGTGATTGATGATGATTGGAAATTGGTAATGTTATTGTCTGTATCTTTTTTATTTATTTATTTTTATTTTTTTTAAGATGCACATACAACAAATCAAATTGTGAGGTTCTAGATATTGGATTTTGTGGTTGATGATTTGTCTGATTATATTATTGTCTAGCAGATACAGCTCCTTGTGGACTGGACACAACAATTTTTTTTTTTTTCAAATTATACAAGTTAATTTTCTCTGAGAATTATGATATAAATGTTGTGATTGGTGTGTCCACATGTGTCACTCTAGTTTTCAATAGAATTGTATTTGATTGTATATTTAGGTGAGGAAGTGATTATAATTGTCATTATGGACACCTATAAATTTCATGGCCAAGAAATGGTAAATTTCCTGCTTGAAATTTGAAAGGATTTGTGAATGAATTTTTTTGGCCATGAATCTCGTCCTAATCCTGTATTGGGAAAAGAAGATGAAGCTTGTGACTTCCTTTATGAAATGTTCAGCATGAATTGAAAATCTTTAGCTATTATGAATTTTTCTTTGGAAATTAAGAACTTGAGAAGCAAACAATATGTGACGTGTGATTCAAGAGCTATCTTGGATGAAATTTGGTTTGTTCTTTTGCTTTATATAAATCCAGCTGCCTAAAGCATGTTACTCATGTGCAGGCTGGCTTTAAATCAAGTTGTCAACGTAAGTAGCACAATTTGACTACTAACTTACGGCAGAAGAATCAGATACTGTTCTTTAAAATAGGCATTTACAGAGCACTTTCGTGGTAGAGTTAACCATCTATTATTAGATTAGAAGAATATGCAACAAGGGGTGGGATGTTTAGGCTGTGGAGGAGAGAGAGGATGCACCTTCATTGCTCTACAGTGTAATGGCGGTGGGGGGGATATATAAAGAAGTGCTCATTTGATTATGATACAAGAAGTTCATGCTGATTATGCTAATGAGGCTTCATGTTTACAATTAAAGTTTGTTATTTGTAAGTTACTTGATTGGCTAGAATTGGGATAAGTTAAAATGAAGTAGGCAATTAAGTATGCAAATTGATTACAATTTTTTTTTTTCAATGTATGGTATTGAATAGGCAAACTATGACCTATTTTCATCTCTTGGGTTATATGTAATTAGATTATGCATGCATGCTTCATGTTGTTATTATATTCCAGCTTTGATGTTCCAGTTGAGTGAGGCTTTGTGTAAACTTCTGACTCTGTAGCTTTCCTCTTTGGTCACCTTCATTGCTTCTTGTCCCCTCTTTTAGATACCTAGAGTGTACGGCTACATGGTAGATCAGACTATTGTACTTTCCAATTATAAAAATGGAAGTTGTATATGGTAAATCAGGCCACTTTTGGTCACCTTCATTGCTTCTTTGTTTCAATTGGTTGATATTCCCTCGAAGTGGTATCGGTAAATGATGAGGCAAAGTTTGAATTTTGAGAAAGAAAACCATTTCACTTTCTCTTTGTGTAACTTTTTAAAGTAGGTTGACTCTATTTGATTAAAAGTATATTGTGGTTGCAGGTTGGTGTTGTTTCAGACTATGACTTGTTAGCACTCGACTCTATCTCAGGTATTATTCCAAATTTAACTTTTCTATGGGAAAATTTTGTTATATGTTGTTTCAGAAAACCATTTCAGTTATGTGTTCTGTTTCTAGCTCTTAGGTGGTGGTCAATCAGATGTAAACCTGTTTCCTAATGTTGATAGCTCTTGGAAAGTATGTAATAGAACTCTTCTCTATGATTGCTCATGCTCTCATGCTAGTTTTGCCACTTTCTCCATTATTAGTTTCCGCGTACTATATATTTTTGTAACAAATTGTGGAATGTTGCTGTTGTGATTCTGGTGATAGGCATTACATAGTCATATATAGTTGTGATTCTGGTGATTGGCTAGAATGTTGCTGTTGTGATTCTGGTGGGAATTGGTAGATCTGTGACAAATATGTATACATCTCGATTTGTTGGTGTAACTGGCCCCTTGGCAGAAACAGACCCAAAACAAAAACAGATAATTACAAGACAAAACGGTGTTCGGGACAACAACCCCAGAATCACCTGGTATTATATACAAAGGGGACTGACTCGATACAACAAGACAGACCCTTAAGCAAAAAGATTGACTCAAGACAAAGAGACAGACTCAAAACAAAAGGCTGACTCGATACCCAAGCCAGGATTTACAAAACTCGGTTTCACCGATGCTCAAAAATGCGTGCCAGACGCTACATCCAAAATAATCCAAATGTCGCCCGCAGGCGGTTCACTTTACATACTCGCAGTATCTGAGCCCTCGAAATCCAACAACTGGGTGGTAACGGACTTGGCTGAGGTGGGTGGGAGGATAACCTTGTTGTCGATCAAATCTTGCACTTCATGACGAAGGCGGAAACAACCATCGGTACTGTGGCCGGACTGTTGGTGGTACGCGCAGTACAAGGTAGCATAATGCGTGGCGGGGAGATTCTTCTGGAGTGGCCGAGGCTCCAAAGGTTTAAGATGCCCATTCTTCGCCAATATTAGTAATGCCCTAGACAAAGGCATGTAGAGGTCGTGAAAGACCCTGCGCCCTCGGGGCAGGTACTTTGAAGTTTGAGGATTCTTGCCAGATGCGCTAGCGAAAGGGTCGGCTGGCACTGCCTTGGCTTTTTGACCCTTTCCCGGTGCAGGGTTGGGAACGACAGGGATTGTCTGGGCATGACGGGGCCCATCCCGATTTTCTGCTTGGCTTGAATTGCCTTTGATTGGAGTGGGGAAAGCATCATCCACAGCTTTGGTCACGATCGCAGATGTTTGTTGCTTGTTCATCCCTCTGACTTTCAGAGCCTCGACTGCCCACAGCAGTTGTTCAATAGGATCGGCATCTACCTTTCCCTTGTCTTTTCCTCTAGTCTCAGCCTGATCAAGGGTCTGGGTTGGTGCTGGCATGTCGTGGCTGTAGCTGGAAGCCACCTCTGGCTGGCTGAGCTCTATCACAATCCGCCCCAGTAGCGGGGGTTTATGTGGTATGAAATTCCCGGCATATGGCGCCGCTGGTGGTGAAGCCGACATTCCATAGGCCAGATTGGCCACGGACCTCTAGAGGTCACCTATTATCCCCATCAATTCAAAGGTGGTGGGCTCACGAGCCTGGTATAACTGGGGGGCCCAGACCGGGTGCACAACGGGCGACCTGGGTGGATGTGACATATTGATGCTGGCCTCACTCTGCGGAGCGGTCCCCTGCTCCAATGCAGCCGTCATAACCACAATTTCTTCTGAATTTTGTGCCGCCATAAATCCTGCCTCGGCAAGGGGAGACACTGGCTATTCTGTATCAACTCTGCGACTCTCTGAACTGAAAGGAAAAACAGATAGCATTTCAGCCCAAACTAATCAAACACGGGTGTAGCCAAACAACTGTACCCTACTGCTGATCACTGTTACCAGAAATCACTGTCCCTGAAAACTGAACCCTGATACCCACGGATAATTGATTCTCATAACTGATACTGATACGGGTGTCCTTAGGTCTGATACTCAAACTTGCAAACTGACATGTACTTTCCCTGTAGAAATACATTCTAGAAGCACATAGCAAGTAAAGAGAACAAAAACACCCCTATGTTGGGGTAGGGTTTCCCTGTCCTATTTCGTCAGGAGCTAGGGTTTCACTACGCACACAGCGGTTCTCAAACAACCTAACATCGGGTAAGCAACCTGTCCTAACTTGGAATGGTCACTATGGATCCGAATATGCACTAGGTCGAATGGTCGAAGAGGGTGTCTCGGTAAAAACCGGGGTTTGTGTTCCCATACTGTCAGAGCCCATAGCTGGTCAGCCTTATGGTCATGCCTTGACAAGACAAGCCTCTGGCAAACCGTTCAGGAATGGCAGAGGGCAAACACTGTGTTCCTAGGCGCACCAATGCACATGCAATGCAAAGAAACACATAAATGAAATCAAAACAGGATATCATGAAAATGATACAAGTGTGACACGCGTGCCACACAAGATGCAAAATGAAACAAATGAGACACGCATGCCTCATAAGATGCAAAATGAAACAAATGATACAAGTGTGACACGCGTGCCACACAAGATGCAAAATGAAACAAATGAGACACGCATGCCTCATAAGATGCAAAATGAAACAAATGATACAAGTGTGACACGCGTGCCACACAAGATGCAAAATGAAACAAATGAGACACGCATGCCTCATAAGATGCAAAATGAAACAAATGATACAAGTGTGACACGCGTGCCACACAAGATGCAAAATGAAACAAATGAGACACAAACCCTAATTCGGTGCCGAAGGCCACATGTCCGTCATCACTGGAGTTGTCTCGGCTCGGGAGCTTGGGTACGATCGGGGAAGGTCAGCTATGAGCACCCCCTTTCGCCCGGTCCGAAGACCGGCCTCTACTAACCATGATATCCGATTTTGAAAACATTACGTATTCTTATTCCATTTATTAGCCTAGAATTACTATGTTATGCGCACAGTAAACAAGTATAGACTAGATTGCCTAATTTGGAAATAAGCATTGCATATCTGTTCGATTTTGAAAAGTGCTTTGGAATTTGCTACTTGCAAGTAGGCTAAAATACGGATTTCAATGAGTTTTTCCAACTCAAACAATCCAACCTCCACCCACAGGCATTCAAACAGTTTATCTCACATAAGCACTTAGCCACATGATAAGCATATTATCGTGGCAACACTCACACACATGTGGGATGCTAAAGCATAAATACTTACATCGTACTCCGTGCCAAAACAGTAAACTAGTCAGCAAACATGCATGTCCTAGTTCATGTTAAAAATGGCTAATGCATCACATGCAAAAATGCAATCTAGGCAGGCTCGGCTAACCCTAAACATGGCATGTGAAATGCGATCAACTACCACATATTCAATTTGTGAATTGAAGTACAGATGCAGTTAGCGTGATGTACCGAGCCTAATGTATGTAATACAAATGTATGGATGCACGCATGCATAGCATAAGGTATGCTAATTCTAAAGATGCCCTAATCTACCATCATAAGCAGGTAAATAAAAGGGAAGAAAGAAGTGGGGAGTGAAAGACATACACACCACCCACACACACTTATTACAGATTTGCCCTCACTCGGAGGGACCAAATAAATATTACAAATTAATTAACTACGCAAGCTAATTAAAATTACAAATTGCCTGATTTAATTAACAAATTAAAATAGACTAAGAAAAGCAGTAAAACGCCTCGGGAAACGCGCCGCCATGCATAGGCTGCCTCTGTTTTCTTTCCTTCACTCCTCTGGAGGCTGTCAAAACCTCAGGATTGCATCCCTGGACACTGGGGAGTACCACCGGCTGAGTGGAATTACCACCGGCAGTGGTGTGTGGCCATCGGCACAAAATAAAGCTGTCGGCAGAGAAATTGTTTCCGGTCGGCACCTTACACTGCCGGTCGGCAGAGTATTCCTGCAGAACCTGCAACCCACAGCAACAGAGGACAAGGCAAAGCATGGCAGCACATTTCAAGGCATATATGCACCAACCATGTCCCTTATCATGGTAATGACTCAAAGGGACATGTGCCTCGATTCTCAGACCACCAATCACGCATTTCCATACATGATGGCCCAAAGAACCAAGTATGAAATGACATGCACACTTATGCAAGCATACAAGCAAACATGGGACCATGCAAATGGATGTAAAGATTGGACTTATACAAGACTTTGGGCAGCTCTAATTAAGCCCAAAACAGTAGCCAAAAATGCCCAAAAATATGGAGGCTAAACACAATGCACACATACACATGTTATGTCCAAACTCAAGCATTAAGCCAAGCAACATTCAAAGCACACTCGCAAAGGGGATTCAATGGACAATTACAGCAACATGGAGCTCTAAAATCTGCTAAAACATGGTGACCAACCAAGCAATAAATCAAGCCAAGCATGCAAATGCCTAAAGTTGCTCAAAACAAATCAATCGGAGTATTGAACTACACTTAGCAAGGACCAAACATGGCATGAACTCATTGACCAAAAAACAGAGTTTAGACATTAATACAAAGGCCTAAGAATCAACTTAGATCGGCATCCCAAATGACTCAAAAACAAAGGCAGCCATATCAAACACAACATGGAGCATGCTACACAAGCTTATGAGCATTAAAGATGCATCCAAGGTAAACAATAGGCATGCAAATTGACCTGAAATGACATTGGTGGATGGTCCAAATCAAACCAAATCATGCAAAGATGTCATGTTACAATGCCACATACTTTAAGGCCAACAAGCCAAAATGCAAGGGATGTATGATTGCATCTAAAATCACCCAAACAACTTATGGACAGACCTAAAATCATTCAAGATAAAGCACAAAATCTTCACTAATGTTAGCTAAAACATGTCAAGATAGCCACAAATCTTCAACTAATGTCTACGCAATCAAAACTGCGGTCTAACGCAGGTAAATGAAATTAATAAATTGCGGTTCTACGCAATCAAAACATGCGGTCTACGGCAGTAATGAATTAAATAAAGATGCGGTCTACGCATCAAAACATGCGGTCTAGCAAGTAAAGAAATTGATCATTATACGGTCTACGCAAGCAATACAATCGGTTCTAACGCAGTAAAGATGAACATATAAATATGCGGTCTACGCAAAGAAAGAAATTGAACAATTATGGCGGTCTACGCAAGCAATCATATGCGGTCTACGCAGCGTAAGAATTGAACAATAAATATGGCGGTCTACGCAAGGAAAGAAATTGAACTCAATTATGCGGCTTTACGCAAGCAATACATGCGGTCTACTGCAGGTAAAGAAAATTGAACAATAAATATGTGTCTACGCAAGGAAAAAATGAACAATTATGCGGTTCGCAATGGAAAGAAAATTGAACAATTATACGGTCTAACGCAAGGAATAAATTGAACAATTATGCGTCTACCGCAAGCAA